AATAAGTCGTAAGTCAAAACAGGGGGAGAAGAAAATTAGTGGGCAGTATCGCAATAAGCTAGGCTATATACCAACCGCGTTCATTTTAAATGCTATATAAAAAAGTTTGTATCTATTTAGTTTCTCATTATTTCTTTTTAGTTATTTAATTGAGACAAGAAGAGCCAATGGCGATGAAGACATCACATGTTCTTCTGCTTTGTCTAATGTTTGTGATTGGTCTTGTAGAAGCTGGAATATCAGGTCAGTTCACGTATCAAGAAAATCAAAACTAATATATATACTAGCAACTTTTCTGTTTTAAAAGGTAAAGTAAAATGAAAATCACAAACGATGTTGCATGAACATTTAGTTCAAATGAAGACAACGAGAAAAGTATAATCATAGAGAGCAAATTAAAGGAATAATCATGTAAAACAAGGCTGCTACAACATCGGTTTTATCTTTTATATTCTTGTACAAGTGACTAGATTTTCAATGCTCTCAACTTTTGGTTCTACTTTATTTTTCCAAATTCAACATACACCCGATTCAACTTATTTGCTGCCAATAGTAGGATATCAAACAAATTAGATTCATGAATCTTTGAATTGTGTGCCCCAAATTTCTCTTGCCTCCACCGAATTAATATGTTAATTGATAGGATCAAATCTAATTTTGCTAGGTTTGAAATGGATAACAAAATATAAGAGTAAGTTATATGTTCTTCGAAATTTTGACGTTGCACAAAACTCTTGATATCGGTCAAATTAGGGGAGTGAGAGTAAATCGAGCATATATTTCTTTCACAACTATATTAATATCTTGGGTATGAAATAGGTGGCGATATGGGTCCGGAAATAAGTACTCCACCATCAGGATCATGTGGAGCTTCAATTGCCAAATACGATTCATCACAAGTACTAGCCAAGAGACCACCACCATGTAGACGTCCTCGACCCCAAAACCAAGAAGATGTGACTCACACTACACTTCCTTGAAATATAAGACCACTACTTGATCTATATGTAATGTTGTTTAGAGATTGTCAAAGTGATACATGGAGTGACTCTAATCTCGGTTATACCTATATTTTCACTATATTTATTAGGAATTATTTTAAACTCTTAGCCATATTTAGACTGACAATGAAGAAGCATTAAGTCAGTGTCATTAGTTCTACCGATTAACCAGGTTGAGATCTTATGGGAAAGATGTCAAAGTCCCGTGGTCGAATTCTATCTGCAACGTCTTCGGATACCAAAAAAAAAATAGTACTCAAGATAATATCCAATAAAATATTCTTTGATTTTTTGATTAGTTATTGAATCTTTTATACTCTCAATTAAAGATATCTTATTCAATGCAGCAATGGTTTTTTTGTTTTTGTTTTTGTTGGATATAACTTTACTTGTTACTTGTTACTTGGATATAGCAATGGTTAATCGTTCTCGAGTGGGGAATACTTCACTTGACTCGAGTTATTCTGGATACCGTTGCTTTGTGGATAGATCGTGGAAAGAAAGTGATAAGTTCTCCGGTACAGGATGGTTCTTTACATCATCAAACGGAGAGCCGCCAACCATGTGAGCTGCAAATCTCCGTCGAAGTTTATCTCCATTACATACCGAGTTCGAGGCCCTTCTATGGGCGATGAAGTGTATGATTGGTGCAGATAATCAAGAGGTAGAGTTCCTTACAGACTGTTCTGATCTGGTGAAGATGGTGTCTTCTCCAACCGAATGGCCGGCGTTTTCAGTGTACTTGGAGGAATTCCAGAGCGACAAGGAAGAATTTTCATCCTTCTCTTTATCTTTAATTTCTCGCAATGCTAATGTAAAAGCGGATCATCTGGCACGAAAAATTCGTACAGAACCGCTTCATATCACATTTGTAAACAACATTCCCCAGAAATAGCTCTTTTGAGCACTAATTAATTTTGAATGACAAAAAAAAAAAAACTTTACATTTAAAAAATGTATATTATTTTAAGTTTACAGCACCAACTAATTAATTTGACGTTAACATGATAATGAGTCCCACACCAGCGAGATTTTGTATTAAACACCAATATTATGCAGTCAGAGACTTAGAGAAGATGAAGATGTTACTTATCTTCAGCAGCATCATGTATTTGCAATTATGGTTTGGGAGGATGGTGTCTACAGAGTTTTCGTTTTCTTGTCTTTTGTTTAGCTTCCTCAAAGACTAGATTTCCTATTTGATCTCCACATGTTGGAGATGGTGGTGTGTATACTTGGGCATCTATATCACCATGAATGAGCCTCACATTAGCCGTTTTGTACAAACAAAATAATCATGAGAAAACTACATTAAAACAAATTGAAGTTCTTTCGATGGGCTTATTATTCTTCCCTCAAATCAAAACTCCAAGTATTTCAAACAATAAAAAAAAAAATCATAACTAAGGTAATATAAAACTATTACTGATCTTGTAGCTTCCAAATTCAATCAGGTTCAAAATCTTGCTATTAGGGTAGTTTTGGTGATAGGAGAAGATATATTCTTATACATAGATGTACTTACATAGCATGCGGTGTGTAGCTCCAACATGAGAAAAATGAGATAAAAGGAGAAGAAACAAAGATAGGGAAAGAGAAATATATGATGTTTTCGTAACCATTATTGACTTCATCATACCTTCGTCTAAATGTTTTCAGGGTATTTATTATACATAAACATATATTAAAGCAGCAACTACTTTTCAATTTCAAGGACTTTAAAAGTTTGGTAGCAATAAATGAACGCGCTAATTTTCGTGGCTAAACTAGTCTAGTGGCTATGGCCAATATTTTCCACCATATATTATCATTCCATCGCTATCGGCTATCCTTTTCTATTGCAGTTATGAGCGCAAGAACTTTCTTAACTTTATTAATGGGAAAATTCCCAATAAAAACCTCAATTATTTTTTATTTGGACGTTTAATACCCAATTGTTTTCGGTTGGAAGAAAAATACACATATTAATAAAACTGTGCGATTTAATATCCAAACAATTAAATGTTGTTATTTTCATACTCACGATCTCACAACAAAAATAAAATTCCAATTTTACCCTTACTATTTCAATTAATTATTAACTTTTAAATTACGTGACAATAGTTTTTTATTTAAATAAAAATTTATTTTATTAATATTTCATTTCTTTGTTATCCCAAAAAAAATTCAAAAAAAAATTCAAAATAATTTGCAGTTTATTTTACAAATATTTAATTTTTAAAAATAAAAAATAAAATTAATTAGCAAAAAATTTAGAAAAAGTAAAAAAAAAATTAGCCATTTTTATGAATTGATAAATCTTGAGAGAGACGATGAGATTCGGATTGAGATTTTGTCGAAAATAGTTTCATTCGTGAAGGATTTATTTACATAAATGCTTTCAAGTAATATATTATTTTTAAATAAAAAATTTAGATGATGGTATATTTTGTTTAGTCCAATATCATGATCTAACTGCATATTTTTCTGACTTTGTACAGTGTCAATCTAGTATGTCCACTTTATCCATGCTGGTTGTGGAAATTCCCGAATGATCAATATATCTTCCGGATGTTTGATGTCTTTCACTCATTACATTTATTAAAAATCCAGCCTACACATCATAACAAACAAGTCACATAATCTAAATCACTTAGATAAGCTCATGGTCACGCCCTCACCTTGAAACAAGGATGATTTTCGAACCAAAAACAACAATTCCACAACTAGCAGTGACTTCTAAATCGCCAACAGTAGATCAACTCACCCTATAACCAACGACAACAACTAAAAAAAACATTTAACCTAAACTATAAAATCCTGGAAAAATAACCGAACGCTCAGCCTGAAAGATGGGATCACAAAACGAAATCTAACCGTTCACTTTCAAATCTCACCGTTGCAAATCTTCCCCTAGATGTCTTGAAGCTACAAACAAAATTTCATGACGATCCGACGGACGATTCACTCGCAATCTTCCTTTGAATATACGCTGTACCAAATCGCGTCTGAAACAGAACAGCTCACGAAAACGCATATAACTCTTAGAATATTGACTCAAATCAAAATCCGTAAAAAGCCACATCTAGAAATTGGTCTTAGATACAATTTCAGAAATTTTTGTTACCTTTTCCAACGATTTGATATGTCAAATCTCTGCTCTACCACGATGTGTCTTATCTGTCTACAACTCTCTTCTTGAGCAAACTGTTTTATCTCTTTTCTGCCACAATCAGCACGAAAATTCTGAGAGAACACTAGGGCTTCTTCAATTTTTAGGGTATAAATAGGCTTAGGTTTAATTTCGGTCCACTTAAATTAAACCATAAACTAGAATTACCAAAATTAATCCATTTCTGTCTTAGGTTAATAATAAACCGACCAGCTTACTAAACCAAGTGGAATTTAACTGACACCATTCGACATGACCTCAATTCTTTCATTCTTTTTGAAATGAGGGTGTTACAAAGTCAATTTTAATACTCATACCCATGCATTTTTCTAAACTCTCTTTGTCGAGTCGCTAGGGTGCTATTAGATCTATCATCTATCTATGCAACTTTGATTCAAATTCAATAAAGAAGCCAGTTAGGGGTTATACATTGTGCTCGTGGCCCTGCTATAAATCTATGATGCCAGAATTCTGCAAGAATCTTGGATCTTGCCCATTTTTGTAATTCGAAAAAAGACAAAAAAAAAATGTCCTTATCTCTGCTCCAGATCTAATATGAGCCAAAGATTTTAAGCAAAACCTTCCCTTTAACCCAAGTCTCTTTCTAGAGAATTAGGTTAATTGTTGGAGGTTGGTTTCTTATTAATCAATAGAGACCCTTATATAGGTCTTATATAACTTAATCATAACCCTAATGCATAATAGAAAACACTTTAACATAAAAAGGAAAACCAAATTCATAAATAAAACACCAAAACTAATTAATTAAAACGTCATAACTGTGGCCTAATCAACCTAACCATAGTCATGTATCATTACTTCCCCCTTCGATTTGGAGTTTGTCCTCAAGGTCCAACCCATGGTTTCTAAACATCAACATGGTAATAGTGATTGTGGAACTCTTGATACAAAGAACCTAGTCAAGAGATGCAGCAGTTGTTGGTGGGTCATTATCTCTTGGACGGTTGCTTGCATCATATAAATATAATTGATGTCAAGGCTATTCTCAACGAACTCCTTAACCACCAAAACTGGTGCCGCAATTACTTCAGAGTTTAGAGGCTTTGTTTGCTTTGGCTCAAGCTCGGATGCGGCAGCTTCTAGCACCTCCACGTATGGTGCCGCAATTACTTCAGAGTTTTGATGCTTCGATTCAAGCTGCGACGCTGCAGGTAACACCATCGCTACCGGTAGTTTTAAAGTCACCGTCTCCATCACCTCTTGCTGTGTTTTCTTCACAGGTGGAGACTCTTCCTCCTCAATCAATGATAGGTTTTCCTTCGACTCAGATTGAAGCTTCTCTACCGACACCACCGCTTGGGTCAGCTCGTTTACGTCTTCCTTTGTTGCCTCTAATGACTGTTTCATTTCTATGGTCTCTTTCTCCGACGTAGCTTGTTGTGTTGTCTTCTTCCCTTGCTTCAGCTTTGCTTGGATGTTTCTCCACTTCTCAATCATGTCATCATACTGTGATACCATCTTATCGTACAATGCCGTTATCTTATCAAACTCTGCCGTTATCTTATCGAACTCTCCCATCGAATCGTTCGGCTCTGATACCAAGTTGATATGAGCCAAAGATTTTAAGCAAAACCTTCCCTTTAACCCAAGTCTCTTTCTAGAGAATTAGGTTAATTGTTGGAGGTTGGTTTCTTATTAATCAATAGAGACCCTTATATAAGTCTTATACAACTTAATCATAACCCTAATACATAATAGAAAACACTTTAACATAAAAAGGAAAAACAAATTCATAAATAAAACACCAAAACTAATTAATTAAAACGTCATAACTGTGGCCTAATCAACCTAACCATAGTCACGTATCAAGATCATGGACACTAGATGTCACAATTAACTCCTAAGTGCCTAAGATTCGAGTTTACCGCTAAAAAACATGTTATTACTTGCCATATGAATTGCCAAAAATATGGTGGCAAGACCTGCGGTGGGATTTTTGATGATGGTACATTTTGTTTCGTCCAATATCATGATCTAACTGCATATTTTCCTGACTTTGTATAGTATCAATCTAGTATGTCCACTTTATCCATGCTGGTTGTTGAATATATTATTATGGGAAATTATATAAGATTCCTTATTTGGTTTATGCCTTATAGAATAAGAATTGTGTTTGGAAAAGTTATTACGTATTCTCTTTGTTTACTTTGTGAGATTAGAGAATTATCTATGTTTCCTCTTTTATGGATTTGTTCCCAATAATTTATTCTCTACATTAACATTATGATTATGATTGACAGGAAATCCAATTAGAATAGGAAAGAGACGTTGGTGCTTTTCCTATAAAGAAGAAGACGTGGTCTTCATTGTGGACACACACAAAAGTACTGTGAAAACAGAGAAATAGAAAACAGAGTGTTTGATAAGTTTGTGTGAAGCTTGTGTTGCTGTTGAGTTTGGGGAGAGATCACCTTGGGAAGAGATTGCTATTGGTGTGAGGAGCACAAAGCAAAGACTTCTCCAAGAATAATGCATACATGATTAAGGGGGAGTAAAATGAGATTACTTGTTAACCTTAGTTCATGTTCTTAGGTAGATGTATTAGAATTGTGTTGAATTTCTAAGTCTATCTTGTACTTCTTAAAGTGATCTAATAAACTCTTGTTGTAGCCGAGGACTAGTGGTTGGTTTGAAAGAGAACCAACCGATACCTCGTTAAATCTCGTGTCGTCTCATTATTGCTTTATTGTTTAATTCGTTTCCGCTATTTATTTATTATATCTAGTCTCTAGAAATTTTTACATGGTATCAGAGCAGGTTCACTGATCAAGTTTAAACTTTTGCAGTGATTCGATTCTTATTTTGAGACTAGATGGATCCTCCTCGAGAAGGTAGCTCTGTGACACGACCGCCGTTTTTAGAGGGTAGCTCAAACTATGGCTACTGGAAAATCAGAATGCAATCCTTCATAAGTTCTATTGATGGAGATGCTTGGAACTCTGTGATTGTTGGATACAACGAACCCATTACGACTGATGCTGAAGGGAGCACTACACCAAAAGTGAGAAGTCTATGGTCTGAAGAAGAAGTCAAGAAATGCACCAGCAACTCCAAAGCTTTGAACGCGATATACAACGCAATCGACGTCGGTCAATTTCGAATGATATCCTCTTACAAAATAGCTAAGGAAGTATGGGAGGCGTTGGAAACCACCAATGAAGGCACATCTAAGGTTAAACAAACAAAACTCATTATGCTTAAATCTAGATTTGATAGTTTGTTAATGCAGCCTGACAGCCCGATTGCGGATTTCTACAAAGAACTAAGTGATATCGCAAATGAATCGTATGCTCTTGGAAAGACATATACGGAGTTCGACATGGTCATGAAGGTCTTGCATCTCTTCCCGAAAAGTTTGCTCCAAAGAAGACTGCAATGATGGAAGAGCTCATTGGCTCCCTTGAAACGTACGAAATGGAGATGAAGATGCAGGACCAGAATAGAGGTCTTGCTGAAAGAGCAAGAAGCTTTGCTTTTGTTACAACCGAAAGAAAAAGTGAAGATGAGGATGAAAATTTGGAGACGCTCACCAAGAAGATAGGAAAATACATGAAGAAACTAGAGTTACTGAAAGAAAAGAAGCTCTCAAAATCCAGCAGCAGTTATGGTAAAAGAGATGATCGAGGCAAAGAGAAAAGAAGAGTTCAATGTTATGAGTGTCAAGGGTATGGGCATTATAAAGAAGATTGTGCAAATCTACAAAAGCGAAAGGAAAAGTCACTCAAAACAACATTAAGTGATTCAGAGACAAAGAGTGATGAAGAAGATGTCTCACACAACAACGTGATTTCCTTCGTTGCTGAAATTGAAGAGTCTGTCAAAGTTGAGCCTGTTAAAACAGAGTCTACAAAAACATGGACTGCTGAAACCGATGAAGACTACTCGGATGATGAGGATTTGCCACCATATGAAGATCTTTTACAAAATTGGGTGGATATATGCAGTCAAAACGTCATGCTTATGAAGGAGAAGAAAGAGATAGTCATTCAAGTCGGATACATCCAAAAACAGCTTCAAGAAAAAGAAGAAAAACTCAAACAAGTGAATCATGAACTTGAGGAAACCAAGAAAGGTGTCAAGATGCTAAAAAATGGGACGACAAAGCTTGATCATATCTTGACCATGGGAAGAGTTAGACATCAGCCCCAAGGTCTTGGTTACAAAGGTAATGAATCAAGCTCTAAAACTGTTTTTGTTTCAGGTGGTATTATGCAAGATACTGTCAAGAACATACCAAGACAATCTCAAAATAAGCACGTTAATCATGTGCAATTTCGTCCCATTTGTCACCATTGTGGGAAGAGTGGCCACATACGTCCACGGTGTTATAGTTATCTTCAAACTTTTTCTTTTAAACCTCAAAAATTCAGATTGGTATGGGTAAGGAAAAATGATTTATATGCTGATTATGTTCCTTCAAAACCATGATTTTATCTCCTTAGCATGATATGTTTGAGTGTTTAATTAAATTTTTTTTATGGATGTTGGTTTTACCCCAAGAAAGAGTATTTTTTTTTTTTTGCAGGATCTGTGATTCACAAGCTTAAAGGGAATCTGCTTGTAGTCTGTCTGCTAAAACAGAGCTAAGAAAAACAGAGTAAAAAATTAAGGAGATGAGTCATGAGACTTATAAGGGAGTTATTTCTATTCTTTTTATGTTATTTTTGACAATTCTTAAGCTCATTAAGGGGAAGTAATGTATGCTTCTACTATGAGCTTCTACTATGATTTTGAAGTCATTTATATTTTTAAAGAGTATGTGCTTAAGCTTGTCAAAAAGGGGGAGAATTAGGTTAATTGTTGGAGGTTGGTTTCTTATTAATCAATAGAGACCCTTATATAAGTCTTATACAACTTAATCATAACCCTAATACATAATAGAAAACACTTTAACATAAAAAGGAAAAACAAATTCATAAATAAAACACCAAAACTAATCAATTAAAACGTCATAACTGTGGCCTAATCAACCTAACCATAGTCACGTATCAAGATCATGGACACTAGATGTCACAATTAACTCCTAAGTGCCTAAGATTCGAGTTTACCGCTAAAAAACATGTTATTACTGTTGAACTTTTGATTGACAAAACAGAGTATGAGAGAAAGATATTCTCCTTCTCAGAAAACACAACTTTATTAATATGAAAACTGAATGTGTTACAAACAGAGACTCGATCTATTTATACAAGTGAACCATTGTGTTTGTGTAATGATAAATAGACACGACAGTTAATCTAAAAGACACAACTGTTGTCTCTTGAACAAGTAACTAACTTATGTAAATGTGACTTTATATTATACGAGATGTGATTATATTCCAACACTCCCCCTTAATCATATCTCGGCTTCACTCCAAGCTTTCTCCTTAGTTCTTCAAACCTTGACCTTGTTGACTTCTTCTTCACTCGCAAGTAAGGCACTTGCGTCCGCTTACTCCATCTAAATGGAAAACTCTTATGCTTCATCTTAATGTTCAGTATCCTTCTTCCTTGAGGATCGTTGATGAGGCATCTTTTGTCTTCAAATAAGACTCCATATCCTTTTGATATCATCTGAGAAACACTCAATAAATTTCTCGCTAAACCCGACACTAGAAACACCTCTTTGATGATCTTCTCTCCTTGGCTTGTCATCACTTGGATATTTCCTTTTCCTGCCGTCATTACACGTTGACCATTCCCCACTTTGATTGGAACCTTTATCCCCTGATCAAGAGTGATGAAGTATTTCACTTCCTTAGTCATATGGTTAGTACATCCGCTGTCAACTAACCATGTTTCATCGTTTCCTTTTGATGATACTTCTTCTTCAACTGCACTAAACAGCATGTGAACTTCATCTTCTGAGTCATCTTCTGTTTCTTCAATACTTAGATCCACTCTCTCGGTCCTTCTAAGTTTGCAGTTCTTTGCTAGATGTCCCGGTTTGTTACACACGAAACATTTTCTCTCATTGTTCGCCACTTGTTGCGGAACAACACCTTTGTTCTTCTTCATCCAACAATCACTCTCGTTGTGATTGTTACGTTTGCAAACGCCACACCACTTCTCGGCACTCTTTTGACGCTTGACTTCAGATTTGTTTTCTCCATAGAACGCCCCTTCCGTTGATCGTTCTTCTCGAATTGATACACGCTTCTCATGTGCTTTCAGCGTTCCTATCAATTCTGTCACCGACAAGGACGTTAGATCCTTCGTTTGCTCCATCACAGCCACACTGCTGTCAAATCTCTCAGGAAGAGATATGAGAATCTTTTGGACAATTTGGTAGTCGGTCTTCTCTTCTCCATTAACCCTTAATTGATTTCCCAAATCAATTAACTTTTCTGTGAAAACTGTGATGTTTTCACCTTCATCCATTTTCAGATTTTCATACTCTCTTCTCAACGATTGAAGTTTTATCAATCGCACTTGCGGAGTCCCTTGAAATTCAGTTTTCAAAGCATCCCATGCTTCCTTCGATGTAACCGCTGGAGCTATTCGAGAGAATATCTGATCTGAAACTGCAGTTTGAAGAATTTGCAGTGCCGTCAAATCCTTTGTTGTTTCTTCCTCCCGTTGATTTCTCAATCGCAAAGCTTCTGGAGTTTGCTCCTCTTGTGCTGATCGGTTGGAAACTCCGTTCTCCACCACCGTCCACAATTTTCTGGTTTTGAAAATTGTTGTCATCTTGATGCGCCAGAAATCGTAATTATCCCCATCGAATATGGGAATCAATTGTTGTGATGTTCCTTCCATCGCCTCTGTTTTTGTTCTGAACTTTTTCTTTTGCAGGTTTTGTTATGCTTCTCTTTGTCTTCCCACAGCCCTGAATCAATAAAGCTCTGATACCATGTTGAACTTTTGATTGACAAAACAGAGTATGAGAGAAAGATATTCTCTTTCTCAGAAAACACAACTTTATTAATATGAAAACTGAATGTGTTACAAACAGAGACTCGATCTATTTATAAAAGTGAACCATTGTGTTTGTGTAATGATAAATAGACACGACACTTAATCTAAAAGACACAACTGTTGTCTCTTGAACAAGTAACTAACTTATGTAAATGTGACTTTATATTATACGAGATGTGATTATATTCCAACAATCACTTGCCATATGAATTGCCAAAAATATGGTGGCAAGACCTGCGGTGGGATTTTTGATGATGGTACATTTTGTTTAGTCCAATATCATGATCTAACTGCATATTTTCCTGACTTTGTACAGTATCAATCTAGTATGTCCACTTTATCCATGCTGGTTGTTGAATATATTATTATGGGAAATTATATAAGATTCCTTATTTGGTTTATGCCTTGTAGAATAAGAATTGTTTTTGGAAAAGTTATTACGTATTCTCTTTGTTTACTTTGTGAGATTAGAGAATTATCTATGTTTCCTCTTTTATGGATTTGTTCCCAATAATTTATTCTCTACATTAACATTATGATTATGATTGACAGGAAATCCAATTAGAATAGAAAGAGACGTTGGTGATTTTCCTATAAAGAAGAAGACGTGGTCTTGATTGTGGACACACACAAAAGTACTGTGAAAACAGAGAAATAGAGAACAGAGTGTTTGATAAGTTTGTGTGAAGCTTGTGTTGCTCACTACAAGAAAACAATCGATTTGCTAGGGACGAATATGTAGCTAATCCCTCGCAAATCGACTTTAGCGAGCGATTTGCGAGGAACTGTGTCTCGCAAATCGGTAAACGTAGCAATTCCCTCGCAATATTTGCTAGGAAATATATGCCCTCGCAAAACACGCGCAAATTGCGAGGATTTGAGAGGGAAAATAAAAAAAATCCGTATTAAATTTTGCGATGGATTTGCGAGGAACAATTAAAAAAAATAAAAAAAAAAAGAAAATAATAAAATGCATTTAAATTTTATCAATATATAGATATATATTGATAAATTCTAAATGCATAATATTATTTTCTATAATGCATAATAATATTCAAAATACAATAAGAAAGTTTTAAGTCAAATTTAAGAAAATCCTTAAAAGTTTTCAAAAATTAATAATCTTTAAAAATAATAACAATTTAAATTTGAAAATTAGTTATTAATATATAATCTAAAATTCCATACTAAAAAAATTCTAAAAATTAACAATTCAATTTCTAAATGAAACCTAAAATAATTTAAAATTCCAATCCTAATATAAAACTAAATTTCTTAATCCAAAACTAACAAATCCAATACTTTTCACAATAATCTAAATCTAGAAATCCTAATTTTCTAATTTTAAAACTAGCAAACTCCTAAATCTAAAACTATAATAATACAAATCTATACATAAATCTAACAATGAAATTAAAAAACATACCTTTGAAGAGATGTGAATGAGGAATGAAGACTTTTAAGTATGAGGAAATGAGAGATGTTTGAGCTATGCTCAAACATGCAATCACTTATATATATATTTATACCGTCGAAATTCCCTAGCAATTCTCACGCAAAAGTTTTGAAAATTTTCGCTAAAATTTTTGAAATTTCCGCCAAAACGTTGAAGCGCGAAAAACTGAAAACAATTTGCAAGGGAGTTGCGAGGGATACCTAGCAAATCCCTCGCAAATGTTTTGAAATATTTGCCAAAAATTAGAACCGCCAAAAAATTGAACCGCGAAAAAACTGTAAATATTTGCGAGAGAATTGCGAGGCACCATAGCAAATCTCTCGCAATGTTTAAAACGTTTTGGAATGAAAAACCTTAAAAAAATTTCATATTTTTTTTGAAGTTTTGCGAGAAATTTGCAAGGGATCATAGCAAATCCCTCGCAAATGGTTTAGGGTATAGGGTTTAGGGATTCATAAGTGGTGTCCACTTTTGCGAGGGAATTGCTATGGTCCCTCGCAATTCCCTCGCAAAACCCTTGGATATATTGAAAACCAATGTAACTAAAAGTTACTAAAAGTTGAAAACGTGTTATGATGGATAATTGTAGCAAATCTCTCATGAAAAATGAAAGAATTAATTTGAATTTTATTTTTTTTAGAGTTTAGGGTAAAGATTTGCGAGGGAAGTGCTACGAAAGCCATGCAATTCCCTCGCAAACTCTTGATTTAGGGTTTAGTTTTGCGAGGGAATTACTAGTATCCCTCGCAAAACCCTCGCAAAATAGAATCAATTTGAAAAAAACAACAAAACACTACTAAAAATCATTCAGATTCATTTTTTTGAGTCATTAGGAAGTTAAAAATCTACATTAGAATCTACTTTCTCATCATATACTTTGAATTCGTCCGAATGTGCATTTTCCTCAAATACATCAATGATGATCTTATGTTTTTATATAATATGAATCAATGTTTATAACATTTTCAAAATAAAATGTTAATATTGAAACCTATACAACATTTTTTTATGCATCACCATATATTCAACTTGTCTGATTATATGGTCTCTTAGATTCATATTTATAAATAAAAATCAAAGATCGCAAAACATTTTTATGTATTTTGGGGTTTAGGGTAAAGATTTGCGAGGTATGTGCGGGAGATTTGCGACAGAGTATATTGTTCCTCGCAAAGTACTCGTAAGTCCCTCGCAATTTTGCGAGAAAACTTTCCCTCGCAAATTGTGCGACGGAAGTGCGACGCGCGTCCTTTTCGTAGCAAATTACTTGCAATTCTCTCTCAAATTTGCGAGGGATGGTTTCCCTCGCAAAACGACTGTTTTCTTGTAGTGGCTGTTGAGTTTGGGGAGAGATCACCTTGGGAAGAGATTGCTATTGGTGTGAGGAGCACAAAGCAAAATCTTCTCCAAGAAGAATGCATACATGATTAAGGGGGAGTAAAATGAGTTTACTTGTTAACCTTAGTTCATGTTCTTAGATAGATGTATTAGAATTGTGTTGAATTTCTAAGTCTATCTTGTACTTCTTAAAGTGATCTAATAAACTCTTGCTGCAGCCGAGGACTAGTGGTTGGTTTGAAAGAGAACCAACCGATACCTCGTTAAATCTCGTGTCGTCTCATTATTGCTTTGTTTAATTCGTTTCCGCTATTTATTTATTATATCTAGTCTCTAGAAATTATTATATCTAGTCTCTAGGAATTTTTACACTGGTTGTGGGAATTCCCGAATGATCAGTATATCTTTCGGATGTATGATATCTTTCGCTCATTACATTTATTTCACATCCTTGTCGTTGGGTTAATCAGTTGATAAACCGTCCGGTTAGGGTAAAAGAAATATCCTTTACATGTAACTGGCTTTGATAAGATTTTAATACCCAATCTCTCTTATTATTGCTTAATATATCCAGGACTAAACCTCAACAATGTAACAATCTTAATTGCAGAACATCAACAACAACAATGGATATGAATCAAAGAACAACTAAAATCTAGAATCCTCGTATCCCTCCGATTCTATCTTTCCCACTCAGTCTCATAGAGACTGATATTACTCTCACAAGTCACAATTCACATGCCTCCTTTCGTCCTCTGTTTCTTGTATTTGTAGACTTTACAAGCCACACTTCCTTCTGTTACAAGTTTGTTACTTCTCCTCAATCTCTTCCAAATAGAGCTCACGTGTTCTGCACACCCTTTGTAGCTTATCAATACCTTCCCCTTGAAGATGAAGCTTGTCCTCAAGCTTAAAGGATGGAACTTGATTTAGCAAGTCCTTCACAGTGACTCAAGCTTAAATGACACGTTGGTATTTACATATATGGAAAATCCAATGGTGTCATCAGTCTTTTTTAATAAAACGTGGGTATTACAACATGTGGGTTTCGGTTGTTGATGGCAATGTGAAATCGTCTAGACTACAAGAGAAAAAAAAAAGTTGTCTTTGTTGACTATTGGGTCATAGATGCAATCATGCAAATAAGTCGTAACGGGAGGAGAGGAAAATTAGTTGGAAGTATATTGCAACTAGCTAACCTACCAACCGTGTTCACTTTCAAGTTTCAATGCTACATTTAGTAATATCTAATATATATAAGGTATCAAAATATAAAAGTTTATATCATAATTTCTTTTGGTTATTTAAGATAGAAGAGCCAATGGCGATGAAGAAGACATCACATGTTCTTCTGCTAAGTCTTCTGCTTTGCCTGATGTTTGTGATTGGTCTTGTAGAAGCTAGTATTCCAGGTTAGTTCACATATTAAGAGAATCACATAATTCATAACCTTTTCAATCTTTCATCTTTTGAATATTGGTAAAGCGAGTAAAGTAAAATGAAAATAAAACTTTGTGAAAAGAGAATTGATAAAGTAAATTAAATGTTAAAGATTTTTGGTTGAATCAAGATAACATCGACTACTAAGAGAAAAGTAAGCATATAGAATTGTGCATTACAACATTTGCTTCCTTAAGTCCTAATATCAGTTTCGAATTTTCTTTAGTTGAGTAGGAAAATGAGGTTGTTTCATGAACCAAAAGCATTATATATAGCTCAACCATTTTCTTGATATATCGATTTGATTTCGATATTCTTTTTAGTTAGGATGAACAAGTGACTCAGATTTCAGATTATAGAATCCAATGAAGCAGATAAATTTTATCACTAATAAATCAGTATCTTGGCTATGAAATAGGTGGCGATATGGGTCCAGAAATATATACTCCACCATCAGGATCATGTGGAGCTCGTATTGCCAAATATGATTCCCAAGTACTAGCCAGGAGACCACCACCATGTAGACGTCCTCGACTCGAGAACACAGAAGATGTGACCCACACCACACGACCTTAAAATAGAGGAACACTACTCGATCTATATGTAAGGATTATCGAAGTTATACGTGGAGTGATTCTAATCTAGGTCATTACCAATATTTTCACTACACTGATTTTTTAGTTACTGTTTAATTAAAGCAAAAAAGAAAAAAGTTCTAAACTCAAATGTGTTAATTCTACCGATTATGTAACCAGGATGAGATTTTATATGGGAATATGGCAAAGTCCCGGGGTCGAATTCTACCCGCAACTTCTATGGATACCAAGTAAAAGTAGAAAGGTTACTGTTTTGCTCATTAACATGCAATGAATATGGTCACAATTCTCAAAAGAAAAGAAAAAACCAAAAGATCAAACAAAAAAGATTGTTAGCTTTGCATATTACACTTTCCTGTTGTGGAGTTTTCTTCGCCTAGGAATTAATGAGCAGTAGATATTTCACCTCTCTAGAAAATTAAGCATATAGTCAAAGGCCAAGTTAAGTGAGAAAACGTTTTGTATATTAAATCTAAAGATAGATAATAACTTAACTAGTCTGATAATTTGAACAAGCAAATTATTGATAGAGTTAAAGATTTATTTTTTGGTTTAATAGACCATGTGGATATGTTTCATGTACAATTTTCGTAATTAATAACTTTAGTAATCTTCTTGTCCTTACAAGGACATCATTTTAATAATACACTTTAAGAAAAGCTAATACAAGTATAATAAGAAAAATAAGTGAGGCAGACTAAATGAGGAGATGAAGACCTAGTTCGAGCATTGGAGGCTAAATATGTATGTACCTAAACCAAATGGATAATAGGTTTCATAGATGTAAAACTTAAGAAATAGAAGTTCGGGTTAATGGGAGAGGTAAATTTGAAACCAAATTATAAAAAAAGTTTCATTTTTTAAGTTGAATTATAATAAAAATTAAAAACAAAACAAAAGTGCAAAAATAAGATTTCAAAGTCTAACATGTAATTTTATATATATATACTAGATTCTGTACCCGCGCAACGCGCGGGATTTTATTTTAATTTTTTTTATCAATATGAATTTTTAAGTATAAATATAATCATTTGAATTGTAAAAGATTTTACTTTACTCATGTGCATTATCTTTCAAAGTAGTATAACATTTCACACACTTTTCGCTACAACTTTTTTTTTTTTTTTATCTTCTATGATTCACTCATCGTCTCCCAACATCTATTCTCTTTTTACCTTATATTGGCTTATATATAATATACTCGAATATAAATTAGTTCTTAAGATAGTTCATATCTATTTTCTCCTTCATATCTTTCAATGCTCAATCTTGTTTATATGTTGCATTATCTTTTTATTAAAATGAACATTAGATAATAAGGTTTCTTTGACCATGTTTTCATATCTTTAGTCATTTAAAAATATTTACGCATTATATCTTAAGATATGATTATCTAATTTTATATTCAAAAATTTCATATTTTTGTTATAAATTTTTTTTTTCGTTTTTTAAATATTTAGCTTCTTCTTTTGTAAATTATTTGTTTGTTAGTGAAATATAATAGTATAAATTACAATGTGTTTTAATTAATTTTAGTTTTAATGTTTTTTAATAAATAAAATATGTGGAGTTCACATAAAATATAAAATATAATGACATGGATGATGATGTGGACATCCTAGATGGAGAGACAACTCTCCTATTATATAGTATAGATTCTCTT